TCCCCATATCCTCAAGTCCATTCTCTAGTAGGTCTGTGTCTTTATTCCTGTCTTACCCCTAAGTTCTTCATGACATTTTCTTTTCTTAAATTCCATATATATATGTGTTAGCATACGGTATTTGTCTTTCTCTTTCTGACTTACTTCACTCTGTATGACAGACTCTGGGTCTATCCACCTCATTACAAATAGTTCAATTTCATTTCTTTTTATGGCTGAGTAATATTCCATTGTATATATGTGCCACATCTTCTTTATCCATTCATCCGATGATGCACATTTAGGTTGTTTCCATCTCCTGGCTATTGTAAATAGAGCTGCAATAAATATTTTGGTACATGACTCTTTTTGAATTATGGTTTTCTCAGGGTATATGCCCAGTAGTGGGATTGCTGGGTCATATGGTAGTTCTATTTGTAGTTTTTTGAGGAACCTCCATACTGTTCTCCATAGTGGCTGTACCAATTCACATTCCCACCAGCAGTGCAAGAGTGTTCCCTTTTCTCCACACCCTCTCCAGCATTTATTGTTTCTAGATTTTTTGATGATGGCCATTCTGACTTGTGTGAGATGATATCTCATTGTAGTTTTGATTTGCATTTCTCTAATGATTGATGATGTTGAGCATTCTTTCATGTGTTTGTTGGCAGTCTGTATATCTTCTTTGGAGAAATGTCTGTTTAGGTCTTCTGCCCATTTTTGGATTGGATTGTTTGTTTTTTTGTTATTGAGCTGCATGAGCTGCTTGTAAATTTCGGAGATTAATCCTTTGTCAGTTGCTTCATTTGCAAATATTTTCTCCCATTCTGAGGGTTGTCTTTTCGTCTTGTGTATGGTTTCCTTTGCTGTGGCAAAGCTTTGAAGTTTCATTAGGTCCCATTTGTTTATTTTTGTTTTTATTTCCATTTCGCTAGGAGGTGGGTCAAAAAGGATCTTGCTGTGATTTATGTCATAGAGTGTTCTGCCTATGTTTTCCTCTAAGAGTTTGATAGTTTCTGGCCTTACATTTAGGTCTTTAATCCATTTTGAGCTTATTTTTGTGTATGGTGTTAGGGAGTGATCTAATCTCATACTTTTCCATGTACCTGTCCAGTTTTCCCAGCACCACTTATTGAAGAGGCTGTCCTTTCTCCACTGTACATTCCTGCCTCCTTTATCAAAGATAAGGTGACCATATGTGTGTGGGTTTATCTCTGGGCTTTCTATCCTGTTCCATTGATCTATCTTTCTGTTTTTGTGCCAGTACCATACTGTCTTGATTACTGTAGCTTTGTAGTATAGTCTGAAGTCAGGGAGCCTAATTCCTCCAGCTCCATGACTCATAGATGGATGATATTAATGATACAAGCTACTTGATTCCTGTCAATTCAGTGAACTATTCTTGCTAACTGGGAACTATCTTCAGTTATTTCTAAGATGGTAAAGGATTGGCTATGCTGTCAATATGCAAATATAAGTATTTCACAGTCTTTCAATATCAATTTTTGTGCCATCTAAATATTGCTGCTTCGTGGCAAAATAGTTGGTATACAATTTGACTCTGGTCTGCAATGCTGATTTTTGACCCTATTCTGCCCCTAAGTGATGAAATCTTTCTGTATCTCAATTTCATAGTCTGTAAATGAGGGATTTAGCTTATATCAGTGGTTTCATCGTTAGAATCGTTTCATCTTAGAATCACTTTGACCACTTAAAAAAATTCAAGTGCCTGGGCCCCACCAGGGACTAATGGAATCTGAATCTCTGGGTATAAGACCTGATCATCTGCATATTTTAAAAGCTCCTCAGATAATGCTAATTGGAAGTCAGGCTTGAGAACCATGAATTAGATAATTTCCTAGGTTTCCTCCTGGTTTCAAGTTTTATGGTTTTAACTTATTTTTTATTTGGTTCAAAGTGCAAACATATTTTTCTGGAGGTCAGAGATCTCTCCACAATTTGGGTTTTAAAAATGCTCCCTCAGTCCTTTTCTTCTGTCTCCATCAAATCAAAGAGAGAAAAATACTGGTAAATGTTAGATGCGTCCCCCAAATCCTGGAACTTGTTAAATGACAATTAGGATATTGGAATGACTAAACTTTAATTGTGGGGTGCTCCTATTTTCTTTTCTTACCAAGTGCTTTGTTACTGCCTGCTTCTTGTGAATGTTTGATTAACATTTAATCAGGTGCTTTATTAAAGCAGTCACTCCTAAAAGTTTTGAACATCTATCAAGCTGCTGTAGCCCCATGTGGAAGAGACAATTCTTTCTAAATCTGAATTGCTTAAAAAAACTTATAATAAAATAAAATAAAATAAAAGAGTTAAAAATACTACTACACAGTTGTATAGAATAGTAATTCCTCTTTATCTTCCCATATTGAAAGTGACACATGATAGCATGGAACTATGTTATCTTTAGTGATTTCCTGCTCCCAGTTAGAATGTAACTCTTTGAAAGTAGTCATTGTGTCTTCACTCTTTTCACCTATCTCTCAAAGCTCCAAGTGCTGGGCTGTTAGGTGGGTGCTCCATAAATTCTTGCTTATTAAATAATTGTGATTCAGTGCAAATGCATAGCTCTAATATGCTCATAATTTGCATATATATGCAAATATACATCATGTATATACATGTGTGCATGTGTGTGTGTGTGTGCGTGTATATATATATATATATTTATATATATATAGAAAGTGAGAGTAATAATCCTTTGATGCCCTAGCTGCCATTTGCAAAGTTTTCTCCTGTTTGGAACCCTTTGTTCTTTGCTGCCAAGAAAATCTGTGTGTTTTTCCTCCTTACGATGTAGGAATTCCTCTTACATCATACCTGGGTGGCTTATCTGGCCCTGCTATTTCTCAATATCCACTAAGTAGGCCGCCATTTTAAACTGGTGTCCTAGTCTGTCCTGTGGTCCTTTACTTTGCTTACTTTTGTCCACTTATGTAGCTGGGTATATCATCTGTTTTGAAATCTTGTTGTCATCCACTTGTATGTGGAATGAATCCCTGGCCTGGCTATGTTGCAGCAGATCTATCTGGATGCTGGTGATCGGCTGTGTCACTGTACTTTCTCTTCTGCCCTTTAAAGCACACAACTGGTTGATATGTGATTGCTGATGAATGTTCTCTACGAATGGATTTTTTTTTTTTTTGCGGTACGCGGGCCTCTCACTGCTGTGGCCTCTCCCGTTGCGGAGCACAGGCTCCGGACGCGCAGGCTCAGCGGCCATGGCTCACGGGCCCAGCCGCTCCACGGCATGTGGGATCTTCCCAGACCGGGGCACGAACCCGTGTCCCCTGCATTGGCAGGCGGACTCCCAACTACTGCACCACCAGGGAAGCCCACTTGTCTGTTTAAGTCATTTTTCTAATTTCACCAAAGGAACCTCCAGTAAATAGGCTCTAGAAGTTGTTTGTGATGACTAAAGCATTATCAAATTCCATAGCAATTGTTGAGGGTGTAGACTTCCAGTTACAGTTTATTTTTTCAGCTTGGATTAGGGAAGTGGTTTATGAGGTATGGCCAGGTAGAGTTATTGAGTGGAATCCACAGATGCACCTATTTATTTTTTCAATCCACACATTCTAAAAGTATCATGGAAATAATCAGTTGTATTTGGTGGTGGTGAGTTGTTCCATGAAATGTTTAAAAGTTAAACAGCAGTCTTCATGCTAAAAATGTTGGATATCTTGGCTCTAGAGAGTGATATAGGCTAAATCAAGTCTAATTTTGTTGTGGTTTCAATACACATTCACACCTTTTTGACAAGTCAGGACACCATTTTCTTTGGCCAAGTTTATGAGAATTAATTCTGTTATTGTTCCCTGCCCCATACTAGATATTGTATGATCTGAGAGGAGATCCGAAGTGTAATCCTTGCTTTTGAGGAATTAAATTTTGTTAGGAAGTTAAGGTTTTGTGAGCAGTTTCATTGGAATTTCCTGTAAAGTTTGGCACTAAGAACTTAAACTTGGAAACAGTTTGGAGAAAAGGCGAGTTTTACTAAAGAATTTCCAAACTAAGATCAGTGGGATCTGAGGAGAAATAGTCTCACTTCCCAGGGTCTGAATTAATGGTCTTTGGTGAAAACTAAATGAATTTATTTCTATTGCTTGAAAACAGAAATCCCTAGTTATTTAAGCTGCAAAAACCAAATGGGAAAGCAGTATGTGCAGTGGTCAAGATCACGGACTCGGTTTTGTTAAAACCTGGGATTGAATCCCAGTTAAGCTAGTTGCAAGTACCGCACACCTCATCGAACATTGTGAGGAGTAACTGAGATTGTGAAAATCAAGGGCTGAGCACAGTGCCTGACTTGTAAGAAATCTATGTCAATAATTAAAAAATGCAAAGACAAAGAAAGTTTAAAAATAGTGAAGATTAAGAAGTAGTGCTCAGACACTAAAGCAAAAGCAGCAGAACTAGGACCTTGTGACCTCCTTTCTTAATCCACCATGTAGATTTCGGTTGAACACAGTAGGAAGGGGCTGGTGAGAGGGACAGGAGACTGGCTTTACGCGAGCAGAGTGGCTGAAACTGTGGGCCTACTCGTTTTACCCCTAGGAGCTAGGGAAAAGACTGTGCTTGCATAGGGACAAGGCCAAGGAAGAAAGAGTCCAGTCAGAGTTAAATGGTTAAAAAAAAAAGAATTGACTCTGCCCCAGTTAATTCTTGTTAGTTCCTGTGAGGATAAAATGGTGGTGGTAGTGGTGGTAGAGAATAGGATGATGAAGGAATTAAACTGTAAATTTGTCTTGTTGTAGTAATTACTTCTGTCGACCTTGTAGCCTTGTAAAAGTTCAGTATAACTTGTTTCTAGAAAAATCTTATCCCCCCCAAAAGGGTGGAATCTGTCTCCTAGATTCACGTATAATTCAGAATCTTCTGTTAAAACCAAAGTTTAAATTAGCAGTTCCAAGATGTTTTAATCCTAACTTACAAATTGTATAACTTTCTTTAATGTCTCTAAAAGAGAATTAGGGGAAGTGACACAATAAATAATAGGAAAAATGTACAAATGGTCGATGCTGTTGGACCACAGGTGTGGAGTGGGTTCATACTGAGTTGATAGGACATCAGTGCCAATCTTTGCAACTTTGGCCTGGAGAGAAAGGGAAGTAGGAGTGGGATAACTGGATACCATGTGAATGCTGTTAATTCACTGGAGATTAAAAAAAGTCGATTTTACTGGTTATTTGGCATTTGAAGATCAAAATAAAATAAATGATTGAGAAATTTATTTTCAGTAAGATATACATATTGTCATTGTGAGGCCTTCTAAATGTGAAATCAGTTATGTACAGTAATATCATAGCTTGTGTTTCTGTCCTTTCTTCATACTCACTCTTCTTTCCTCTCTCCCTCCCTCCTTTTCTTCCTTATGACTTCTGACCTTCCTTCTAAAAAAACATATTCTTCTTTTTTTTTGGCTTCAGATATTTGTCTCTCTCAAAGTCAGTTTCTCCCATGTTCCTCCTTCCTCGGTCTTCATAGGTTCCGTACCACCATATGTCTTTCTCCGCATATGATTTTAGTATGCCAAGGGAAGAAAGGTGCTTGACTCCTTTTTAAAGTACTTTTGTTTAAACTAGAGTTTTTCTTCTTGAGTGGCAGCTTATGACCTTTAATACACAATAGTGTTTTGTGCTATGGGAATGATTATTTGAATTCATTTTAATGGAATATAGTCACTAACTATATATATATTCTAGTGAAGATTTTGTTTAGTCTACATGTATAATGTATATAACCAAAAAGTAAGTTTTTTTCTTAATCAATTTCGTTGCTGTGTAAGAACACTTAACTTTATTCAGAATGGTTTGTTTTGTATATTTGTATTTTTTTAATCCATAATACTATTGTCCTAAGGGTAGATTGAATTGCATTGCTGTACCTTTGCATAAATTAATAAAACTCATGGGTTCAGATTCTCAACTAGATTGATTAAATAAATGGCTCTTTGGGCCACATATTGCTTGTATATTTGTTGTATATAAACAGAAGGTTTTAATGACTGGTTCAAATCTTTGCTCCCACTCAGAATTGAATGCTGAAAACAATTGATTCAAGTCAGAAAGGCAATTGTAACCTCTAAAAAATTAAAAAAATTTTTGTGAGGCAGTATTTGAATCACAGCTTTTATTTTTTCTAGAGCAATTAAAAATATTTATCCCTCATACGCAGAATTTTTTTTTTTAAAGCTAACATGATCAAATAGTTTTCACAGAAAGGAAAAGAATGCTTAGTGGATCATAGTTTTAGAGAGAGTATGTTTTTAGTGCAGAAGCTTCACAATCATTCAAAATTTCTTTCCTTGGTTAATAAAAGAATTAATGTAATTTCTAAGTTGATCAGGAGGATAAAAATACAATTGTTCTCCTTAAATCTGATGTCTTGGTGACAGGAATAGCAGATGTTTTTGCTATTGTCTTAGGCTTTTGCTGTGTATGGTTTTATGTTATGACCCATGGTAAATATTTAACTAGGCAACATCTGTGTAGTAATGGAATTCTACTCTGGTAGCCTAGACCTTTCTTCGTACTGGCTTTATCTTAGAATCATATCAAAAGATTCTATTACCTATGTACTTTTATCACATGAAAAAATTAACCTAAGGTTATGGTTTTAACTCTAAGGTAGACTTCATTAGTTCTCTTCTTTGGTATTCAAATGTGAAATTTTTTCAAGATAACCCAAGTTGTTAATGATGAACAGACTGAAAGTCAATGGTGGTGTCAGTGCATAAACCACAGGCTTTTCCTACATACCAGTTCCTCGTGGTTAGGTGGCAGTTCTGATGTATATCCGTAGGGAAACAATAGCATCTGGGAGTAGGAATGGAAGGTAACGTAAGCCTTGATTGATTTTTGGTGGCTTCGAATGAAGTCAGTGACAGCTTTGGTCTCTTTCTCAGACTCTGGTGCAGGGCCCCCATAGATCTCCCGACATGGGTCCTTGGTGTGAGGGAAAGCTGCAGAGGACATGGAGGGATGAGATCAGAATCTGCTCCCCATCAGTACAGCCCTTACTTCGTTTGACAGGGATTCACAAAATGTTTTTAACATTTTAGTCTCCCAGGTTTACAGGGCTGCCTCAGTGTCCCTGCAGACTAACTCTGTACGCATAACTCAAGAGTATAACAGAGTTAGCCCACTTGAATATTCTTATTCTTAGCCTTGTTTATTTTCCCTCCGTTTCCCAGGGTCACAGGAATAACGCATCAGAAGCAGCCCAGGGCCTGGAGTCAGTTCCAATTCAGCCTCAGCTCTAACTCATTGGAGACTGCTGTACATTACCTTCCCTGAGCCTGAGTTTCTTTAACCTGTTTCAGTAGGCAGCTTTCACTTAGGGATATGTGCTATTATCATATTCATTATGGTAGAATAGAATTAGATGCTGAGGTGGTATTTTCAACAAAGTTAGATGAAGAAGAAATTTATGACTTGGGATAGTGGCAATTTCTCTTTGAATGTATGTAATGATAACGTAATAGTTGTGTAGCAGCTGCGGCATCATCTGATGTAGCAGGCCTCTGCTTATCATTGCTTTTTCCTGCAACCTTTTCACTTTCTTTGCCCCAGATGTTTCTTTTCACTACACATCTGAAGAACTACCTATATGTTGGTTCTAACCACTGGTATTTCTCAAATTTTATCAGATCAGGAAGAGGAGGGACCTGAGATCTCTGTTCAGATTATCAGAATTTCTGGATTGTGCCTGATTTTTAGCAAGCTAGATATATTGAGTAAGAGATTGTTTGATAAACAGCCCTACCTCCTACTTCCACCCATTCAACAAAACATTCATAATACTTCTATGGTAGTGATGATTATCTTTCATTTTTTAGATTAGAAAATTAACACTTAGGGAATACCTATCTTTACTGAATAAGTAGGTAGTTTAACTAAATTCGGTGTCTAAACACTCTTTAGAGCTATTTCCCTTGAGATCTTGTCTGCTACTCACAGTTCCATGAGACATTAAAGTTCCTATTGAGGTCAGTTCCAATGCATTTGGAACGTTGGTTCTTGGAACGATTTTTTCTCCACATGCGGTCCTGCAGTATTGAATGATGAAAGTGTTTACACAAGCTCAGTTAGCATTTTTCAATTTGATCATTTCAGATTCTCCCTGCAGGTGTCTACAGCTTTATTTGAAATTTATCTAGTTAACCTGAGACCCATTATATAAAGAAAAAAAAAATTTTCTTATAACTTGTAATATTTTCAGAAATGTTTTTTATATTAATAGTTTAAGGCCTTGATAAAAAATTCAGTTAGTTTTAAAAACTGTTGATTAGTTCTGAGTATTAAAAAATGATCGATTTTGTTCTGAAATTACCTATAATTTGAATTTTACCTTCGTTACATCTTTCAACATTTATAGATTCAGATGTAATACAGGTCAAATTGTGATTGTTGGAGCATAACTTTCAGAAAATAACTTTTTGTGATAGTATCTGTCTGAAATCTCAAAATCTTATTTAGCAACAGCAGGGTATAAAGAATTCTCTTAAAAGACAGATATCTGTGTCACTCTTTTATTTATTTTTTGATACAATTATTCCACTGCAGATTCTGTCCCAAATTGATGGAATACAATGATTTTGTTTTGAAATCATTATGTTCAGAATGTCTCTAAATGACTTTTACTCTTAGCTAGAAATACTTTTGCCATATTGTATAATATACATTTCCTTTATAATTAGTGCTTTATTTCATTTTTCTGCATTACTAGCTTCAGCAGCGGAAATTTCATATTATTTTAAGAACTCCTGCGTAACCAGGAAATCATGCTTTCCTTAGTTGAAACTGAGTTTTTAAAAATATACTTTTCTGAACTGTAATTGATTAACCAAACCTTAAACTTAATGCGTAACACTCAATGTGCATGAAAGTCGGTAAATAATATATTACCTAAATGCAAACAAGAGACTACAGAGCAGTACCTGTCTCCATGACCAAATATATCCCTCAACATTGAACACAGGAAGAACATAAAAATTCATTCGGTCCAGGAGTTTGGTCATAATTTTGTTTTTACCATAAGTTTTGGTTGCCTGTAGGGGTAGGAAAAAATTAAGCTATTGGTACAAAGTTTAGCTACCGTGTGGAAAGCTGTGGTTATAATTGTAATGACTACCACTCCTTAAGTCCATTTGCCCGTCACATGATTTCAAACGTATTTCCCCTAAACTGCATAAAGATAAATAACCCATATATATGACAGAAAAAAATGACACTTATTCAGACTAGTGAAATTAATTGAACTAAATATTCTTTGAAGGATCATTTAATTATCAAGACTTGTAGCATTCCAAATGTAGCATGCAAGATATGTTTTATGGAAAGAAGGGAGGCCAAGTGAAAAATTAGCAGTGCAACTTGTTTTAAATAGATTCTTTTCCTCACATCTTTCGGTAAATATATATTGAATTTGTAAGCATAAGAATAGATATTGGGGAGGATTCATGAATTAATTATAAGTAGAATTAAAGGAAAAACACCTTGTTAATAAAAAAATTAGAGCATTTAGATTGACCAACCAACTTGTTTTCTCACATCAGATGGAAATTTCTCTAATTATCTGGACTTTCTATGGCTACCTAAAATCTCTCATTATTCTTGGAAAATCTCTAAGGTATATCTGTACTGGAGCCAAGACATTTCTTGTAGCCCTATCTTGTGTGTTCCTTTATGGCTTACGTAAGCGAGCTTATTACTTAAGTAAGCTGAGCTCTCGGCCCTCAGCTGGAAGAACTAAAACAACTGCAGGGATAAATGAGTTCTACTGGCAGATTCATTCCTAGTGGAAAGTATCCTTGCCCTGAAAGCAGTTGTGATGTCATATTCCAGCAGCATGATGTATGCAAAAGCTGGCAGAGAAGAGAAAGTTAAAAGATAGTAGGAGTCAGAATACAATAGAAATAGAGTGAGAAGAACAGCAAACTTATAAAGTGGATTTACTTTTTTTTAAAAATGAGTCATTTTTCACTTGGAAAGGAAATTTAAGCATGAAAATTCCAAATGTGTGCATAGCCAATTCAATATCTAAACAGGAACTAATGTTCTGTGCTTTGAACTCACTGAAGAAAGGCCAAGTTTGTAGGTTGTAATATAAAGATGGTTTCAGATTTCCCATACTTAACTATAGGAAAAACCATATTGTAGCCAAAAATTGTTTTTTTAGTTTTATAAACTGTCAGCTGGAGTTCAAGAAGTTTAAAGGAAGGTGTCAATTTTATAAAAACCTCAATGATGAGTAAAATCCAGAGCGTTTATTTCCTGACAGCACCAAATGTGGGCTCTTCTTGTTAAGAGGAACTGCACTCATTTGTAAAGGGGTGTTGCCACTCAGTGAAGTGATGGAGACTTGACAATCAAAGGAGAATTGTGTGACTGTTCCAATTGATTTACCTGATAGACAAACCACTGGCAGAATGCTGGGGAGATCCATTCTCGTGCATGAATGCCACAATCCATAAAAATAGCCTTTCTTCTTTCATCCTTTTCCCCAATCTTTTAAAAAATAAATTTGATATATTATTTTACATGAACTTACACACTGATCTCTTGTTGTCCAAATACTCATTCATAGTATCAGAGCGATTCTTTCCCCTGTCTTCTGTTGAATGAGTAACTGTGTATGCACATATTTTTCTTAGGGAGGACCATGGCATGTATCCTTAAAATGCATAATTCATAATCTATTTCATAGTATATTTTTCAAAAAATTTTCTTAGTGTCAGAGTTGCTTTTAGGGTTTAAAAAAATCACAATCTATTGTTATTTTATTGCTAACATCCTTTGGCCTGAGAAAAAGATTATAAAGTTGCTTCTGTTTCTGCCATTTCCTTTTGTTTTTCATACTTCATAAACATGATGTTTAGCCTGGAGTGGAAAAGATTTTGTAGTTGTGTTTGCAGTGGGGAGGAGGGTTAGTGGCTGCATATTTGAAGAACTGTCATTTTAGAGAATTTAGATTTGTTTTGAGTGATTGGAGAGCGTGAATGGATGGGAAATCAGGGTAAGGAAGGGCTTCTCAGTTATTAAGGGGATGCTTTAGGGAGCAATGTCTTTGGATGTACAAAAATCCCGTAGCAGCTGAATGGCAATCGTCAGCTCGGTCATAGAAGGGAATTCCCTATCAACACAGAGTTGAAATGCCTCACTTACTGTACTGGGATCCTATGATTATATGATTCTTCAGTTTATTTTCTTCCTGACATTTAGTCAACAGTTTCACTGAATTTTAATGGATGGAAAACTGTTTTATACACCAGGGACATCATAAACTCTTGTTATAAAGATATGGGATAAGAAACTTGTCTGGTTTTGTCCACTGTGTCTGTCAGGTAGGTTTATTCAAGGACTTTCTTGGTTCTACGTAAAACCACCTGGCACTTCTAATCTTGAATGGATGTCTAGAGCTTATATGTTCTTCAAAGAAATAAGACTTTCTATTGTCTAAAAATTAGCTAGTTGTGTCACAAAGTAACTCTTACATTCATATTTTTCAACAATAGTAAGAATCTGTAGTTCTTAAATTACTTTTACCTTGAGAACATACAGTGGATTATCTTCAACAGTAGTTCCAATTTTAATACGAGAGACCATTTTAGGATGCTTATGTACCATTTTTTCAGTCCAAGCAACAGTCTTAAGAACAAAAACAATTTTGAGAGATTAGAATAAAAGAAAACTAAAAGACAACAAATGTTGAGGGTGACGTTTTTCTTTTTGGAAGTGCAGGCATTTTATACTATACCTTGTCCCAGTTATTGTATTTTGCATAGCTGTGCCTGCCTGGCATATCTTCTTTGACATCAAACTGTTTCTCAACCTCTTCTTGTACATCGTGAATCAAGATTCTGTTTGACAGGGGGAATGATAAAATACACATTTACTGGAGAAAGAAAAACAGTTATCTTTCATTTACAGAAATTTTCTCTTCCTTCATCTCTATCTTAGATCAAGTTTACCTTGTTTCGTCTTTGTTCTGTAACCATGTCTTTTAGATCTGTCATGTGTCTGGCTTCCAATCTTCCCATTTATCTAGAGTTGTGCTGTTCTTGCTGATTGACTGATTGAGTGTAGAGGAAGAACATAAATGAGGTATACTCTTAATTAGAGTTTATTTAGCACATGAGACCAAGTACTGCTCATGAATATTGATTCCCATTAACATCACTGACAAGCACATTATTATGCATATTATATCTAACTCACTGTATGCTTGGCTTTTGACCTAGGATGAATCTGGGATTTCTTTGAAAAAAATTATGACAACAAATTTGGAATCAGGTGGGGCATGTTGCACTAAAACTCACATGAAGTCTGAGAAGTTTGGAAGTTATATTCTGGGTTGTCTCTACAGACAAAATTAAGTGTCTTAAGCTCTAAACAGGGTATGTGGCTTTTGCTCCACCTGCATTAATAGAAGTAGAGGAACCAGGGAAAAGAGAGATTTTATGGTCTCAGAGGTTGATTTATAGCATACGGCAGTATTAATTAGTCACAGGAAGCTTGTATCTAAGAATATTTTTAGACTTACACATATCAATTTAGCTCTTGTGATAACAGCAGCAAAAGAAAATCGTGTGAGACCTTTCCACAAACGCAGCTGCATGAAGACATCAGAATGGTAACAGATTGTTGCTGATAAAGACTAGAAATTAGGCCTAAGGCTGGAAATTAAGAACTATGGCCAGATGTTATTTTCATGAGCCCTTCCACTAACCAGCATCCAGGTTTAAGTAGATGAAACCAAATTACTTTCTCTCAGATATTATTTTAGCTCTCCAAGATTTGCTTAATTTGTTAAAAATTGTTCCTAAATATAGGTGAAAGGATAAATAATTATCCCTGAGGATTTAATGATAGAAATGGCTGTTTACTGAGTCTTTCTTATGTACCAGGCACTCTGTTCAGCATGTTATTTACATTTTTCACTTAATCTTTACATCAACACTCTTAATTGGGTACCATTATAACTCCCATTTTTATAGAGGTTAGGTAGATTTCCAACATGGATATAACTAAAATACAGAAGTTGGGATTTGAACTTAGAGATGTATGACTTCAGTACTCTAGCTAAACCACATACAGCAGTGCCTCCATCACAAGGAGTGAAATCCCTGGGTATTGCTGTCAGATCTATAGTCTTCTTAGTCTACTGAGGCTTGTGCAAGGTTTGCCCAGTTGACCAGCTCTCCAGGAAGCCTGAGTCCCAAGATCAGAGAGCTGGTAAGTTCAGAGAAGAGGCAAAATGAATCCTATGTTGACAATTTCAAGACTCCCTCCTTCTGCTGCTTTTAGAGAGTAAAAAAGAAGGAATGGAGATTGCTTTGGCAATATGTGGTCTTTTGTGGGCACATATAAATTTTAGGATTATTTGTTCAGGTTCTGTGAAAAATGTCATGGGTGTTTTGATAGGGATTGCATTAAATATGTAGGTTGATTTGAGTAGTATGGCCATTTTAACAATATTAATTCTTCTAATCCAAGAGCATGGGATTTGTATCATCTTCAGTTTCCTTCATCAGTGTTTTATAGTTTTCATAATATAGGTTTTTCACCTCCTTGGTTAAGTTTATTCTCTGGTATTTTATTCTTTTTGATGCGATTTTAAACAGAATTTTTTTTTTTTTACTTTCTCTTTCTGATAGTTCATTATTAGTGTATAGAAAAGCAACAGATTTTTACATGTTAATCTTGTATCCTGCAACTTTGTTGAATTCATTTATTAGTTCTAATAGTTTTTGGATAGAGACTTTAGGGTTTTCTATGTAAAGTATCTTGTCATCTGCAAATAGTGATAATTTTACCTCTTCCCTTCCACTTTGGATGACTTTTATTTCTTACTCTTGTCTGATTGCTGTGGCTAGGACTTCCAATACTATGTTAAATAGAAGTGGCAAGAGTGGACATCTGTGTCTTGTTCCTCAATTTAGAGGAAGGGCTTTCAGCTTTTCACCTAGCTTGAACCCAAGCTTGGATTTGTAATAAATGACTTTTATGTTGAGATATATTCCCTTTATACCTACTTTGATGAGAGGTTTTATCATGAATGGATGTTGAATTTTGTCAGATGCTTTTTCTGCATCTATTGAGATGATCATGTGATTTTTTATTCTTCCTTTTGTTAATGTGGTGTATCATATTGATTGATTTGTGAATATTGAACCATCCTTGCATCCCTGGAATAAATCCCACTTGATCATGGTGTATGATCCTTTATATATATTGTTGGATTCGGTTAGCTGGAGGTATCACTCTCTCTGACTTCAGACTATACTACAAAGCTACAGTAATCAAAACAGTAGAGTACTGGCACAAAAACAGACACATAGATCAATAGAACAGAATAGAGAACCCAGGAATAAATATATGTACTTATGGTCATTAATCTGTGACAAAGGAGGGAAGAATATATGAAAGGAGGGAAGAATATATTGAAGAGACATTCTCATCTCTTCAATAAGTGCTGCTGGGAAAACAGGACAGATACATCTAAAATAGTGAGATTAGAACATTTCCTCACTCTATATAAAAAAATAAACTCAAAATGGATTAATGATCGAAACATAAGACCTGAAACCATAAAACTCCTACAAGAGAACGTAGGAAGAACAGTCGTTGACATAAATTGTAGCAATATTTTTTTGGATCTGTCTCCTTAGGTAAAAGAAGCAAAAATAAACAAATGGGACCTAATTAAACTTAAAAACTTTTGCACAGCAAAGGAAACCATCGAGAAAACAAAAAGACAACCTACTGAATGGGAGAAAATATTTGCAAATTACATGACTGACAGGGGGTTAATACCCAAAATGTATAAACAGCTCATACAACTCAATTATAAAAAAAAAACAACCCAATCAGAAATTGGACAGAAGACCTGAAAAGACATTTTTTCAAAGAAGACATATGGATGGCTAACAGGCACATGAAAAAGATGCTTAACATTGCTAGTTATTAGAGAAATGCAAATCACAACAATGAGCTATCACCTCACACTTGTCAGAATGGCCATCATCAGAAAGTCTACAAATAACAAATGTTGGCGAGGATGTGGAGGAAAGGAAACCCTCCTACACTGTTGATGGGAATGTAAATTGGTGCAGCCCCACTATGGAAAACAGTATGGAGGTTCCTCAAAAAACTGAAAATAAAACTACCATATGATTCAGCAATTCCACTCCTGGGTATATATCCAGAAAAAACAAAAACACTAATTTGAAAAGATACATGCACCTGAATGTTCATAGCAACACTATTTACAATAGCCAAGATATGGAAGCAACCCAGGTGTCCATCAACAGACAAATGGATAAAGAATATGTGGTGTGTGTGTGTGTACACACACACACACACACACATATATACAATGGAATATTACTCAGCCATAAAAAAGAATGAAATTCTGCCATTTGCAGCAACATGGATGGACCTAGAGAATATTATGCTTAGTGAAATAAGTCAAACAGAGAAAGAGAAATACTGTATGATATGACTTATTTGTGGAATCTAAAAAAATAAAGCAAGCAAATATATATATATAGCAAAACAGAAACAGACTCACAGATTTAGAAAACAAAATAGTGGGGAGAGGGATGTGGAGAGGGAAAAGATAGGGGTATGGGATTAAGAGATGCAAACTACTATACATAAGAATAGATAAGCAGCAAGAATATATTGTACAGAACAGGGAATTATAACCATTATTTTATAGTAACTTTTAATGGAGTGTCTTCTGTAAAAATACTGAATCACTATGGTATACACCTGAAACGAATATAATATTGTACTCAAGTGTACTTCCATAACAAAAAGGAAGGAATGGAGAACTGTGTGCCAGTATATGTGACTGCCATGAGCTTCGGGGTGTGTGTGTGTGTGTGTGTAACTGTAGTGGGGAAGGATGTTTCAGGGAGGCAGAGTCATTGTTATGGTGTCTTATAAGCTGGTCTGGACTGCGTTTCCCCCATGCCCACATTCCTGCAGGATAGGGTCTACTCAAAAAGCATGATTTCAGGTTTGTACAGGATCTCATTTGTCTCCAGTAACTCCCTAATTGGGTTACTTTGTATCATACTTGGCACTTATCAACATGGATTTCCCCCAGCATTTGAGGCATACCTCTGTGTTGGGTAATAAACTTTAAGGCACTAATTTATTCAGTAGGAGGGAAAAGGTGCAGCTGATGATAGTCTCTAGTTATCCCCTGTTGCACAGTGTGTGCGCATGTATGTGCACATGCTCATGTAAGCACATGTATAAGTGGTCTTTCCTCCACTTGCATTAATAAAAGTAGTAAAGGAACCAGCCAGAGAACATTATATGGTCCCAGCCAATCTTCATGAAACCCCTATGAAACATCATTTTAAAGATGAAGAAAATGAGATGGAGAGAAGTTAAATGCACTGTCAATGTTAAATACCTAATGCATGGCTTAAATGGGACTAGATTCAGACACCTTCACTCCAGAATCTACATTCTCTTCTGCTTTCCACCATGACCAACATCTCTTTGACATTTGTATCACGTATTAACAATACCCATTTTATTCTTGTGTAAGGAATATATAAAAATGTGGAGCAGAAGGAAAAAATGAATAGGATGAAACACTAGAATGATTTATTTGATTGACATACTTATTTGATAGGACCATGCATATACTTGGAATATGGATTTTTATCTGACTGAACATTATTAGGTAATTAGACATTAATATGAAGTGTTGATGATCAGTTTGGTATAGATCTCTTCCACATTTCTCACATAATCTTATGTGGGTCTTAATAAGATTCTACTTAATTGTATCATTTGAGTTTTACTATTATATTAGTTGTTGTTTCCTGAATTACCTTTCATTAACAACTCCTTATTTTCTAATTTTAACTTTTGATCAAAGAAGAGATAATCTAAAATGTATCTAAAATACGAATATCTAAAATGTAGAAAAATTAATAAAAACACTAGGGTTTTCAACTGCTGATTCTAAATATGGTGTCTGTCCTTTAAGGCTCAGTCCAAGGGATGTGCATTCTTTTAGACATTATTGAACCAGTCTGTTCAGGTTTGTTAGTATATACATATTATTTGATTTGTAGGCTTGGCCTTTTGTGATTTTGTAAGAATGTAAAGGGAAAGAAAGGGAGCAAATATGCTGCTTTAAAATAAAATCTGTCTTGGTAATTTAATTTTCTGAAAATTAAAAAAAAATATCACACAGATTGCTTTAAACTAAGTAGTGGTTTATATGCACTGTCTAATGAAGGGTGTCTTAGTAAATCATTGTGTCAAGCCAGCCTCTTAATGTGGTTTTATTCTGACTGGTGTCTGGGTCCAACCAGATGTTTCTGTTCTTAGAACCTTCTTCTGTTACTGACTGACACCACGTAACACATGTAATTAATATGCAGATAAAATTATCTATATAATTAGTACTTGGAGACAAGCTTTTAAATAGTTCTTGTCTGCACAGATCACTTTACATATTTATATTTCTGAGGAAGGTAACTATCTAATTATGTGGCTTTCTCACAACTGTGGCTAATTTGGACCAATTTCTAGAAATCATCTTCTAATTAGATAAAACTAGTTTTTTTTTTTTTTTTGGCGGTACACGGGCCTCTCACTGCTGTGGCCTCTCCCGTTGCGGAGCACAGGCTCCGGACGCGCAGGCTCAGCGGCCATGGCTCACGTGCCCAGCCGCCCCGTGGCATGTGGGATCCTCCCGGACCGGGGCACGAACCCGTCACCCCTGCATCGGCAGGCAGACTCTCAACCACTGCGCCACCAGGGAAGCCCCGATAAAACTAGTTTTTATAGGTAGTTTAACACTTTGGTTCTTGATGTAGACAGCAAGGAAGTATTTGGCATAAGGCAAAGTGAAAACCACAGTACTCGCGAGGATCTGGATTTAGACCTCTGTTTGAGTCAGAATTGTTCCAGGCTAGGAGAGGACCAAAGAGGAGAAAGGGCTGATGTGAGTTATTTGATAAAATGGAAAGATGGCAGCCCCCTGCCTGGGTGTCTTCTGTGACAGTGATTTATTCCACTGTGGACACTCAGTGTTGAGCAACTAGCTGCTTGTCTACATTACCAGGATATTAAGGAAACATACTGCTTCATTTTTACCCTGCTGTTCAAACCAAATTATACAGTTTGCCAACTAAAATATATTTTAGCTTGGGCTAGATACTTTGTAAGAATTAGTTGATTACTTGTCTATGTATGTGTTTCCTTCATTTCAGTAGTATTTATATTTACTAGGAATATTGAAGCAATATAATAAATACAATCAAATCCTGCTCTGTCATATGACATTATAGGATCTTTGTCTGAGCCAGAAGTAGAAGGCCTTTTGAGTTACAGCACTAAGTTAGGTAGCAGAGGCATGAAATAGCAAGTCAAAAAGAAAGAACTGGTGTTTAGCAGTTTTGAGTGGTGGGGTTCTTAATAAAGGGGAATACTGGAATGACAAGGGCTGGGGGAGTACAGGATCCCTCAGTACATCAAATTGCTAAATACTTTAAAGTATAAAAAGACATTTTGTTTTCTATGCTGTATATTGATTTGTGATATTCATCTCTGGGCTCCCTTCTTATTTGTTGCCCCAGGGCCTAGACTGCATGACCCATGGTTAGTGCTAAGTTCCAATTTCCTTTTATTTCTCTGTGGGACCACAGCGACTCATTTCTGCATCTTTGGCCATTCGAGAATTCTCTCCTCTTAGATTTGTCTTATTTTACTGCATTGTTTTTGCTTTCTCTGGGGAAGAATTTCTTGCGTAAAGAATTATTTATTTATTATGTATTTTACATTCCTACATCTCTGACTCAAGGATGAACATTGTTAGGGTCTCCTTTTATGTATCAGGAGAATTCAAATACAAGAATGTGGTGCTGGTAGTCATTAGTAGTGCTGAGCTCTGGGTTGATTACCCGGCAGGGGTGACGAGTGTGACCAAACCGTCCATGCCTGATCACGTGCACTGTGTCCTTACCAGGGGCTGAGTTTTAGAGATGGCAGATATCGTAATTGTTGTTCTTGCAGATCATAGCAAACATAAGATAGAAGTTGAGTGGCCAACTTTGAGCTCATCACTTTTATAAGCAGGCCTCCCTAGTCTGTTTGGAAGTAACTATAAATTTTATCTCATAGATAGAGCTTTCATTTTGGGGCACCCAATTTAAAAGTTACACTTGCCTTTCAATTTCAAGACTCCAAGACTTTGAGTCTCTAGCACATTTGAATATTTGCCTAGGACTTACGCATAGTGCATTCTATTTTGATCGAAGGCAGCCTGAATGGACTGGAATTCCTTTTCACTAATTCGGAAATCCACTGTCATGTTAGCAGCTACATGGTGGGAGATGTCTGGATGCCAGAAGTCAAGCTGTGCAGATGAGTTCAGTGTTAGTCGCAGTTGTTTATTTGCTCACCCGACACATATTTATTAAGAAATGACTATGTGTCATACACAATGAAAGGAATTTGAGGTTCAACGTGACTGAAGTATGGACTCTTAATAAACCTATGAGATTTTTGCAAATGTATTTAAGAATTGTTGAATATTAGGGAGTGGGAAAAAAACTATTGTACTGATCACTTTTTTAGGACATAGTATATAGAGTTGCAAAAAGAATGAGCAGCTTTTGGGTAATCCGTTTGCTTCTACCATCTTGGGGCCAATTGGAGTTGTTTCACAATTGATTTAGCCACAGCATCTGTCTCTAATTGGGAATATGGACTAATATATGGCATCACCCTCCCCTGCCCCTGCTCCTGAGTCAGGCCTCAGAACCACATGTCCCAGTAAACTCTGGAATTCCTGGAAGGTTTGTGTCCAATGAAAGCATAATCTCTAGCCATGTCATTTTTCTAGCAGTATGTCCTTGGGCAAATTACTAAAACTCTTTGAGTTTCAGTCCTCGCGCCTAAAAAAGGGGCTAACAGTCCTCCATTGGGAGTGTTGTGAAGATTGTGAAACAGCTGTGACATGTGGGCCATGCAGGCATTTAGCAACTCCTGATTCCCTTTTCTTTATCTTCCTCTAGCTGAGACTTTCAGAAATTTGGTGAATGGGACTATAAAGATAGCATTCAGATTAAAGTAATTTAAGAAGATTCCAATTCGTGTTCTTCAAAATCATACTCAGTTGTGAAACCCAACGAAGTATAATTTCCCAACCTTGGAAATGTAGAGAAAGTGCTCACTTTCTACCCATCATGCCAAGCTTGCGGGCGTGTCTATATCTACCTGGCTGTTTTGTGATTGACTTCCTCTCTACCTCTAGGTCAGTCAGTTATGTGCCAATAGGGGGCTGCAGTGAACCAACCAATATTTATTGGCTTATTTGGATCAGGAAGCTATAGCCTGAATTAGACACGTGAGAGATGTAACGTGTGATGTAAAGGTAGGGCCATCTAATCACAATAGCAATCTCTCTGTTCCAACAGGGTAATGTAGTACAAGAGTTAGGGCTCAGTGAACCATCATGAGCATTTACTAAGCACCAGGCCCAGAGCTGGGTGCCAGGGTTGTAGAGGTTAATACAAGAGAAGCAAGAAGTTCAGTGTGGGAGACAGAGCCGTGTATGCACTTCCAACATGCTGACCAATGCCAGAGGCAAGCACAAGTGTTCTAGGAGCACGACAGGCAACCCGAACTGGGTCATGAGAGTTGATGAACAGAGAAGGACTTCCTCCAGGAGGTACTGCCTGAGCTGGGTCTTGAAGAATAAATAGCAGTGAGCCAAGTAAAGAAGTGCATTCCTCCTGAGAAAAGGTGTGTAGGGCCAAAGTGGGCGAGTTTTTGGTGTTTATGGTGCTTGAAGGGTGAGAAAGAGGGTGGAGTGCAGAGGTTGGAGATTATGAAGTGCTTGGAACAGCACCCTGATCCCAACAGAAGATGCTTCTATGGTGCTTAGTATGGCCAGGCCCACTTCTGAGCATTACCCAAATATTAGCTCATTTAGTCTTTACAACAACGTTAGAAAGTAGGTGTGACTGTTATCCCCACTTTACAGAGGAGGCATTTGAGTCCCAGAGAGGTTAAGTAACTTGTATAAGGACACAGAGCTAGGGTAGAGCTGGGGTTTGAACCTCTGAAGACCATGCTCTTTCCAGACGAGGCTGCCTCTCACTAAAAAGCTTCAAGTGGAGGAATGCAGTTGTCTGGCTTTAGACAGAGCAACTTGCCGTGTGGACTTGGCTTTGTGGGAGGCAGGGCCCTGAACACGAGACAAATTGTAATCGTCTTATTGAAATTGTCCCTGTAAAAGGTAGGGCAGACGTGAATTTGGCAGGGACAGAGGAAGGAAGAGGAGAGTATGGATTTGAAAACCATTTGGGAATGAGTACAGGCAGAACTTTTGATTGATTTGATGTGGAGATAAGGGGGTATCTGACTAGATCTCAGATTCCATTCTGGCTTTAAATTTGATATGTCAACTTGGTCATTTAATTTACTGTCTTTGAACTTAAGTTATTGTTTTCAACAAGTTACATTTTGACACTGACATTGAAAGTCTGATGGAGAATTTGAAACGATGTATGTAAGGTGGCTGGCACAGTGTGTCTTGTGCATAGGAGCAGCTGAATAACTGAGAAAATGATAACTTTAGCCTACTGGATTTTAAAAGACTGACCTAACTTTAAGAGTTTTCTTTCACCATGGACCTGCTCTTGGAAAGGGTCACATCTTGATATTATCAACCAGTGCATTGCTGTTATCAGGTAACCAGTACCTTGATGTTATCATAATTTTGACAGACATTAGGCCAGTGGTACAGATCAGTGTGGGAGTGAGGAGAATGGAGCAGGCAAGGCGCTATCAGCAGGGAGGGAGAAGAGGCCGTGATAAAGGTGTCAGGAACATCTCCCTATTTCACACTTTCACCTAGAAAAAGCTGTTGTTTGCAAAGCTTTTGGGTGGGAAAACAGAAGTGGTAATTTGGGGAAAAATAAATAAAAACAAAGGGAAGTACTGGCAACTGGCTCAATTATCCAAGTAGCTCCTGTCCCTTCCCCCATCTTTTTTTTTTTAATTAATTAATTAATTAATTTATTTATGGCTGTGTTGGGTCTTCGTTTCTGTGCGCGGGCTTTCTCTAGTTGTAGCGAGCGGGGGCCACTCTTCATCGCGGTGCGCGGGCCTCTCATTGTCGCGGCCTCTCTTGTCGCGGACCACAGGCTCCAGACGCGCAGGCTCAGTAGTTGTGGCTCACGGGCCCAGTTGCTCCACGACATGTGGGATCCTCCCAGACCAGGGCTCGAACCCGTTTCCCCTGCATTGGCAGGCAGACTCTCAACCACTGCGCCACCAGGGAAGCCCCCCTTCCCCCATCTTTGTCTTTGGTAGCTCCGTGGGCATTGAAAATAAAAGACAAAAGAAGCAGGTTTTAGGGAACAGAAAGAAAAGATTTAAAAAACCCCTCTATTTGCTTTACCTGGTTGGTTTTGGCCAAGTCCTTTATGATGTTTGCTTGTTTTTCATCCTGGGCTTCACATGTAACACCTTCTCCCTTTAAGAATACAAAAGATGAAACATGTAAACTGTGAAGAAACGTTTCATAATCCTCTTCCCACATGGAGTCTGGAACACAGGGTGGCAAGATTCACCTGTCAAAGCGGACAGGAGCAATTGCAAGGGTGATAGCGGTCAAACCAGAGGCAGGATGAACCTCATGGTTCTTCTTTGTCTGTCCCAAGCCCCTCTGCCAGTTTTATGCCTCAGCTCTTATCTGGAGGAACAGCTCATTTCCTCTTAGGGTTCTGGTGGACAAAATGCCCCCCCCCCCACCATATTTTCTAGTTGGGGAGGGGAGTAGGGTGGCAACACTAATACTAAATGCCCATTTGGTGACAGGTGAATTCCATGCTACTCATATACCTTTTACAGTTGGGAATACCCATTTTACAGATGAGATGAGAGGCAAATTCCTTGTTTAGCAAATAACTTGCCCAAGGAAGCAGAGCTAGTATGATGAGATTTGAACCCAGTTCTTTGTTCGAAAATACTACTCTACCATATGCTTGAATTGAAGGATGGAAGGAATCAGTTTAAATTTGCACTTGGAACCCGAGATGAATTTGGGTATCTGGCCACAGAACCCTGATGGGTGGTCCTTAATAGCAAAACTTTTTTTTTTAACATCTTTATTGGAGTATAATTGCTTTACAATGGTGTGTTAGTTTCTGCTTTATAACAAAGTGAATCAGCTATATGTATACATATATCCCCATATCTCTTCCCTCTTGCGTCTCCCTCCCACCCCCCTCCCTCTCCCACCCCTCTAAAACAGATGTTTTTGAAGCTACGTTGTAAATTGTTAAAATAAGAACTTTTGATTACAAATTATTTTGAATATACTAAAAGTACTGTAAGTAATCTGGAAAACATTGATATGTTCACTGTCTAGATTTTATACTTTTGCCATCGTTTCTCGGTACCTCTCTTGGTAAAGAAGTAAACATTACAGAAATGGCTAAATTACTCACTCCCCACTCCTTTCCCTTTTCCCTCCCTCTGTCCTCAGGGGGAACCCCTATTCGTAAAGCAACTTGCGGACATTTAGAGGGCAAGATAATATGGTTGCTCAAATGTTTGTTCATGGGCTGCTCTCTTCAGGCTCTAGATGCTGTAGGTGCCCAATAAATGCTTTTTGAAAGTTGAATTACTGAAAGTCATTTATAAACCATTTTAAACAGTGTCTTGGGGGGAGGTCTTTAATCTTGAACAAAACTCGGTTAATTATGGATTATTTGGGAGAAGGCAACACTTTTACCCAGAATTATAGGTAACCTAATATACTGAGTGAATTTAATCAGATAACTTATTAGAATTTCCTTTAAAACTACCTCTTCATGTATAGATGGTCATACATGAAACTTCTCAGAGTCATGGTTGTATATTTTTATTATCAAAATAATGCTTTGGGGGAGATGCCCCTGTTATATGTATAGCAGCGATAGCTTCATTCCTCTCCACCTGATAGATGTGCAATGTGACGGGTCCCCCAAGAGGGTTCCCTTGCTGCAACCCTGCAGGTAAGGAAGTGGAGGGGTTTACAAATTCCTTCATGTTCTTGACATTGGACAAGCTTATCAGCACTAGAAAATCCCAAGGCAAATTCTCGCTCTGTTGATTATAAGGGGGCGCTTGGCAGGAGTACAGAGGAAAAGGAAGAACTTGACTTTGGAGTTAGACAAATGTAACCTCAGGGTGGCTCCCAGACACTAGCTACTTTACCTTGAGCAGGCTGCCTAGTCATTCCAGGCCTTGGTTTCCTCATCTGTAAATAGGGATGCGCATGGGACTCTAACAAGTGGCTGTGAGGGCTAAATGAGATGCATATGTAAGGGACTTGGTGGATGGTAGGTACAAAAAACATGCCTGTGTCCTCTAAGCAGTTAATACAATTGTCAAGTTCTGTAAACACACTTGCTGGCCACTGTCAGGCTGCAGAACTGATGAGTATCAGCATGTATCATGTGGTAGGTTAGAGTGGTAGCTGTGTCCTGTAAGGCCAAAATCTCTCTCTGTATTTGTTTTAATGTGGACTGCTTAAAGAAAAAACAATTTTATGTTATAGTTTTGCTTTTTGGAATTTTGTTTGGATTCTAAAAGTAATAAATGCCCATTGAAAATAATTTAGCAAAATATGGAAAAGTTGAAGGAAGAAAAATAGAAGTCACTCTTAATTCTAGCATTCTGATACACTTTCTATGTTAAAGCCTTTTTCTGTGTGACTACTTTTAAAACTGTATAGAGAAGGCTTGTGTGTCTGTTTTTCAGGTCAGCTAGGAAGGACACTTTTATTTGGGTAACTAAGTAAATGTTTGAAGGATCCTGGTATTTCTCAAGATAAGACTTTGATGATAAATCTTTGACTTCTTAATATCTGTTGCATATTGACAGTTCCTTGTTTCTGGAATAGGACATAGACATATGATGCTTTAAGACCTCCCACCCCTCCCCAATCTATTTAGCCTCTGAAAAACAGTACAATAGATGGATTTCAAGAATATTTTGGAGCTCTTTCTCAGAACAAGTATGGTTTCTTAGCAGGCATAGTTCAGTAAAACCTTGTATTACTGAATCAAGATTTATGAAAGGTCTTGGCATATGTATGGAGTAGGATGAATAGTTGTTAGACACCATATCATTTTAGGATGGACTATGTAAGATGGTGTGATGTTTCATAGGTTAATTTAATCTCTTTAAAAATATTTAAAGTTGAATGCTTCACACGACAGTAATTTTCCATCTTTCTGGATCTTCGCACTCCTAGGATTTTTGTATGTCTAGACACAGTTAAAAATACCACTGTACTTTTTAAACTATGCTTTTCTGCATATTTTTCAAACATTATCACTATGAAAGAAATATCCTAGAAAATGGAAGTGAAAGTTCTCTTGTGATTTACTACAATCTTTCAAATAATTCTCTATCTTCAAATCAAATTTAGTAAACTTCTGGAATACCTTTAGATATCTCATAAAGGATATGTTGAAAGAAAAATGTGTTGCCTTTAGTTACGGATATTGGATTTTTTAACATTGAAATGAAACTGCCCTGGAAAATGCTGCAGAGAAACTTGTCTTTTATTAGTTGCAGGAAAGGTGGCATTTCTGGACAGAGACGTGGGTGAGTGATTCAGGCAGTGTCAGACCTGGCTAGAGGGGGAGTGACTACCTGCTCAAATGAGATGACCTAAAAGGCTCATCAAGACCCCATTTGGCCCCCAAATCATTAACTATCATGGTTCCTCCGTCTTCCTTCTACTCCTGAAATTCTCTCTTTGACCAATGCATATAGGTTATCTGGCAAAGCAGGTGAACACATGAGGTGTGACTCTAGATATGTAGACCTCCCATATTCCAGACTGGAAAACCAGTCTTGCTATTTTGTAGCAACACTGTTTGAGGTAGGAAAGATCCAGGGGGCCGAGCCCCTGCTGTTTGTTAATTGCTGCTTTGGGGAGGTGAGAGTTAGGGACTGAAGGAGCCTAGAGCGAGTCCGAGGTCCTTCTCATGGTGGGAATTAGCCGAAGAAAGGGAGAAGAGAGGTGCCCTCACAGCCAGGGGCTCCTGTGTGGGCAAGGCTTGGCAATGTCTGGCCTGGCAAGGCAGCAGAGTCTCTGGTCAGCCGGGCAGGAAGGCATAAAGTACTATATTGCAGTAGGAAGGCCTAAAGCAGAAACTTCTTTTCTCTTTTTTCTTGGTGAAGCTCAGGCAAGTGGCACTGCTAGCCTGCTAGCTGTTAACTTTCAGTTGGCAAGAGATACAGCCAAAATGTCTCCAGTGCAGGAAATCTCAGGTACATGGATTTTACTTGCTTTCCTATTTCTAATTCTTCTTAAAAATTCCTTGAAATTTTAGAAAAGCCCATGTATATTCCTAATTTCTGTTTTAAAGCTCTGAACTTTGGGCCACAGCATCCCTTAGTTAGAAGTCGATGGCACCTGCTAGAGGTAGGGTAAGGGAGTGTCCTGTGGAACTGGGTTGAATGATACACCTCCAGCAACAGAATGGGAGAGAGAAACAATAATTTCGCTAAATTACATCTATTTTTAAAATTAGCATCAATACTGCTTAAGAATTTATGGGAATTTCTTTTTTGGCACTCAAGGGTCTCTTTTTTTCTGTGCCTATTTAAATGATATATTACTAAATTATTTTGAAGACGGTTGCCTGACAAATTGTAGCAGCTGCACTGCTACCATCTAGTGGACAATTAATGCAATTAATCATTCTTTGGCTTGACAGCTTCCAAACAAATCATTGTGACGTTAATGGATTCTGTTTTTGAATGGAACACTGTTATAGATAATTCAACATATTATGCTAGATATGGAATCTTCTCTTCCTTGAATCTACATGGAAAACAATGAGGTAATGTTTTGTTTTATGATTTTAAAGTAAGCAATGCCCTCAAATTATAATCTAAATACATATTATTATATTTTAAAATTTGAACTTTGCACAGTACTCTCCAACATTACTAGCACGTTCAGTTTTAATTCTGGAAAACTTCAAGTCATGTTTGACATACAAGTCCCTGGTACCTTCTTATTTCACTTCCAGTCTGCTTTCCACACCGTAGCCTGGCTGGTGTTCAAAAAAACAAAAAACAAACTCTTATCATGTCATTTACAATTTTACATCTCCATCGGCTTCTCATTGCTCTTTTTTTATTGAATGAAAGATTCTTTAAATTCTATAGTACTTTACAGTTTTCAGAAGTTTCACACACTTGATTTCATATAATCACATAATAACCCCTTTTTCCCCCTATCCCTATATTGCCCCTTCCACATTCCCTCTCCCCACTGGTAACCACTAGTTTGTTCTCTATATCTGTGAATCTGCCTACTTATTTTTTTAATTCACTAGTTTGTTGTATTTTTTAGATTCCATATATAATGATATTGTACAGTATTTGTCTTTCTCTGTCTGACTTATTTCACTCAGCATAATGCCCTCTAAGTCCATCCATGTTGCTGCAAATGGCAAAATTTCATTCTTTTTTATGAATGAGTAGTATTCCATTGTATCTATGTACCACATCTTCTTCATCCATTCATCTGTTGATGGACACATGTTGCTTCCATATATTGGCAATTGTAAATAATGCTGCTGTGAACATTGGGGTGCATGTATCATTTCAAATTAGTGTTTAGGGCT